TAAATCTAGGTATGTTGAAAATTTTCATTCAAGTTTTTTTGGTAGTTCTGAAGTAGTGAATATATGACCGGGGTGCTACGCTCATAAAAGCATCTAGGTGGGGCTATACGAAATCAGTTGCCCGCCCCTATTGACTGGAAACTTTGGGTCCCGGAGCACTGAGTCTTGTACAGCCTTCCTTCGAGACGTATTTTTGTAGACTTTCGAAGACACTGCTCAATCCCCTAAAATCTCAGAATTTACTTGGGTTAATACAGCACTAATTATAGGTTGTTGTTCAAGACTTTGCATGCCCAAACAGCTCTCACCACACCTCTTTCAGTTCTCTTTTCGGGTAGGGTCTCTTCCTTAACTTCTTACGTTACAGCGACGAACATTATGCTCCAACTCCAAATGGTATGCCATTGGATGCAATGTCATCTTCAACGCCGATGTCGTCAACGACCACGCAAACTACGACTGTAAAATTCGAGGACGTTGTAAAGCCTAATGCCGTGGCGAACGATACGGTCGTCACTTGGCAGGTTGGAGTGCAGGTCGAAGAGGATGAAACGGAGAAACCAAATACTGAAAGCGAGCAAACTGTTGTGACAGTTGCACCCGTGAACGCGGACTCTGCGCAAACAACAGCAGTGATAAGGTTTGCTTTTGTACAAATGCTTTTGCAACAACCCCTACCTTTCCTTTCTGATGAGTTCACCTGCTTCTCTTCCCAAGCATGAGCTTTATCTTTTGTTACTTTTGAAACATAGGGGTGACTAAGTTTGGTGATTTTGAAAGCTGTTTAAATAGGAGGCGCATGACGTTTGTGAGCACAGCTACAAGCCGCCAAAAAGCTTGGCATCCATAGCAGATGATAGCACGATCTTTGATTTTGATCACCGCAAAAGCTACGATAGGGCATTCCATTGTCTAAACATTCTAACTGGGATCAAAAATTATGCATTATTGGATTGGCGTTAAAACTTGAAATAGACGTTTTTCTTCCATCCGAAAAATGAGTAGGTGAGTGAGCGCGTAATAATACGGGTCGATAAATACAACAAGCCATGCAAATGAGTATCAACATTAGGAGATAACAACTTATGTAAGAAATAAAGACCATTCGAAAAGCGAGCATTGCGGG